GAAAAAAACACGCCATAGAAAAAATATAAATAATCTGGGTGCTTAGAAAAGTCTGCTTCTTCAGCTATGCAGTCGGCAACTTCCTCATTTGCTTTGACCAGTGCTGCATCGTCTGACGGTCACTGTGCTCGTGGTCCCGGTGTTCATCTCTTGATGGAATTCCTAATTTAATGGTTTTTCTGACAAATGCGGTTGACAAGGCTTTAGCTGTTTTGAATTATTCTTGAGATGTGTTGGTCATTACAGCTCATCTCAAACAACGTTACTTTTAAACTACCGTGAGGCGCCCTACTGATTGGAGAGTAAGAAGTTATGGTCTGCTGAAAAATGTTCAAATCATAAATTCCAAAGCAGCCTTAAGCCATAATTTTGTAAACTATTATTATCTTAAACTGCAAGTTGAGCTTACGAACAGATTCTTGGTTCCTCGAGGAGATTTGTTTACTGAAGAAGGAAGACACAAACTGGAGAAAAGCAGTTCAAGACAAGACTTAAGCTGTACTAAGAATAGCTGATAAAAAGTATTATTATCTCTGCATTTTAGCATTCAATTATGCAATTGCATCATCGGATTTGGGAGCCGATTTTGTGCACACGCATGTTGGACACGAGCCATCTGGTCGTTTATGCAACGAAATTTGTCTGAACGCTAACGGTAGTTCTCTTTTGAATACTATAAAGTGGAGCAGTGATCTTGAGATTGGCTTGAAATTGCAAGTCCAACGCTATTGTTCACTAAATGGAGTATTCCATATCCCGAATAGAGAACTTATTCGTAATTCTCACAAAAAGTCATAAATGTAGAATTTTTTTTCATTTTTCGACTGCTGTTTCATTATCACTTTCTTTCGCATAACTAATGCAGCTGGCAACTTCTCCATTCCTGTCCATAGCGGGCCTCTCTCATCAGAGACAACAGATGAGCAAATCATGGGATCAGCATGTTGTTGACGATCCTGGCATTTATTCCAGGGATCGAAATTAGTTGTATGATATCTTGCATCATATTTTTATCTATGTTAATATGCATGATCAGACGGTTTCTCTCCACTACTGGATTAATTTACAGGGAAACCGCACAACCCGTTGATCAACACCGGAGCAATTGTTGTCACTTCGATGCTCAAAATGGGTTGCAAAATGGCAGACCGTTATGGTTTTGTATGTTTTCTAGTAATCATCAGAATGTAGGACCCATAATTTTTTGTTTTGAGAAATCGGTAGTATCATTTATGTACAGAAAGCGAGTTACTACTGAGCGCCTCCAACTTAGAAAGATACATGGTGCAGGGGGGGGG